AAATGTTGTGATCAACTATTGCCGTTAAATTTTTTTAATAAGCCTCTTTTAAGGCTTGTTGCTTTTTTTATATAGAACATTGCATCAGATGTGGTGTAGAGGAATTTAAACCTACAAACTCCTAAAAGAAATAGAAATATCTTAATCGTTGAGCTAAGCTCACGTTAGCAAGGCTTGTTAACTATCATATAACCAAACACGCTATCTCATTAATTAATGCAAATAATTTTTTTCAAAATGGTCATTTTTATGGGTACATAAAAACATAAATGCTGCTGCCATAATACTGAATTGAGCATCACAGCTAACCCCTCCCGCACCACTACCCAAAAAAGTGAAATTGTTGCAATGTCCATTTAGCTTGAACATTGTCAAAAGGCAAGAAATGTTAGGAAAACAAGCAGACCGGCATCTCTTGATCTTGTTCATTGAATGGAAGTGTCAAAAGTGGTGTCAAAGTAATTATATAAGATTCAATTTACGGTAACCCACCAGCTTAACCATTTTGATTGATGGGAGATCTAACATGGTATCAAAGGAGGAGGAATTATATTCGAACTCTTGTAATGTCATTTCCTCCTCAATTAAAATTAAAAACTACTCGTTGGGCCTTAAATAAATTTTTAAGCCCACAAATGAGAGGGAGTGTCAAAAGAAAGGTCAAAGTATTGATATAAGATTAAATTTACCAATACCCATTAACTCAAGTTTCCCGGATGTGACGGGTGATTTCACAAAACAGAAAATTCAAGAGAAAGCAATACTTACAAGAACATTGTGACATTCTTGGTGAGAAGCTCCCTCAGGAGAACAGGACATCCCCTCTCGAAAGTCATGCTGTCTAAGAGTCCCATCCTCACTAGCACTCCATACTACATTTGGATTCCCTATTTCAACCTTCAACGAATTGAAGACAAACATTGTCAAAACAATAAACATATTATTTAACCTATAATACGTAACCTGGTTGTTCATAATAAATAAATTATTTCATAACGTCTAGTAGAAGAAATTTTCAATATATATTTCCCATTGAGTTCATAACTCTTACAGCTAATTTTTTTACTCTTCTGGTGTGACACTGATATAAAGCAGATGAAGCTATGGGACTATCATCATGTCTTCTCCCTTTCAAGCGAGATAAATTAAACAATCGCACCTGTTAAGAAACAAACCCCCCAACTCCATAAAAAGTAGTGAGCAAAATCCAACTGCAAGTACAAACATTCATGAAAATTTTACACTACAGCCTATTACACCTCTGCATCCCCAGCTCCTGAGACCACAAGCTCATCAGAAGTTTCAGGAACAAATTTTGTACAAAATATGTTTGCAGAATGCCCAGTTTCCACAGAGTGCAATAGCTTTTGACCAGAATAGCTCCAAATGTTTATCTGCACAAATATATATATATGATTAACAAAAAACTTCAAGAAAACTTAATTTTTCTTCAGCGGATGGAGGTTAGTAAAAAAGAGTAACAGTAAGGCATTTTGCAATACAAAGACACATAAATCAATTATCATCTAACAGGTAAGGAAGAAACATGCCAATCCTTCGGTGTCAATTTATCATTACTGCTTTAACTACATCAAGTCCAACAAAAATCAGATGAGATATCCAGGGCTATCTCTTTCTTTGGTGCTATCTTCATTATCAACTTCTAAAACTCTATTTTTCCAGTTTTGTTTTATTGTCCATATAAAGAAAAATTCTTGAGAGCAAATTTGATGAGTCAAATCTGAAGAGTTTAGAAACTAATAATATCCATAAATTTGATAGAAATAACATTCTCCGTCTAAATATCTAACTGTAAGAAAACATATCCTCTACTCAAATTTTAGGCATTTGAAGACTTATCATGCAGGACAAATTAACTAACTTGGATTTCAGATTTTAGGCATTTCTAATTCAATCTGCATGCACCACCACCTGCAATAATCACACTTGCCGCATGAGTAAGGTTATCAACGTAGGATACCTTTCTCCATAAAAATAGAGTCAGATTTATAAAAGCATGCATTTAGTTCAACTCTACTACAGGCATCATTGGCTTAAATTCTTTTACTAAAAGTTGTTGTCACAGGAAAGAACATTCAGTAATATGCGCAATAAATACTAACATATTCACATAAAGGGCCACAAACTTATACCAAAAAAGAGAAGTTTGTTGATTCAATCTTTAAGAATAACAACCTAGTATTCACTACACAAAGTCCAACGACAAAGCTTGTCCATCACCAAAAGAAAAACATGAGTCATCCACAGGCTACTGCAGATCTTAGATAATTAAGTCATAGAACTGAAGGGAAACTATCTTACCCGCGTATCATCTGATCCAGATATCAAAAGAGAACCACGAGAATTCCAGGCCACTGCATTAACACACCCCTGGTGCCCCTGGAGAGAGTTTGGGAGGCAGGGGGAGCAGAATTTAATTTACGAAAATGGAATGACAGATAGAGAGAGCAAAGAATATGGAAATGAAAGGGATGGGAGGAAAAACAATATTTGCACAGAATTTGGAAAAATAAACACACAAACTAGATCATGGAGTGTAAGTAGTAGTGTCCGTTTCATGAGTTTGAACAAATGTCTCAGTTCTTGAAGAACTGAAGACTAACTCCATCAGAGTTCCATTTCTCTACCATGTTAATATGGTAGTCAATAACTACTGTTTATCCATCTTAAGACAACAAATAAGAAATGAACTCCAATTGAAAGCAATGGGCCACTTATCCTCCATCAACATGTTTTTTAATGAGAAAATTTCTTTTCATCACGTAGAAGTGAAAGAAGACAAAAAGGAAAACAAAAACAGCCACCAAAAGGGGTGCCTAAACCCCAAACTACACAAGACGGGCTCAATATGAAACAACGAAACCCAAAGGTACTCACAGAAAGCTTTACTAACTAATGTCCAGAGGAAAACATTAAAATCTAACAAGAGACCACACCTCAATCTTTTAACATATTAAGAAGTGTTTTATCTCTACAATAAACGGGAAAGAAATCCAGCTGTATATCAGATGCTTGTGCAGACATTTTAAATGACATGAAACAGACCATAAAACACAATGCCAAATGATGGATAATTATACTATTACCAGGTACACCATTCACGACAGAATGTAGAACATAAAGTTTACAGTAAAGCAAGCATCACAAAGTGGATAGAACAGTGTTAAGAAATCACAGGGGATAGAAACTTAAATCCATACAGACCTCCAGTTCCTTTTCCTGGGAGAGTCTTTGGATGAATGATGAGTGCATCGGCAAACTATAGGTGGGATCCTGCAAACATATAGGACTTGGAAAAATGAAACAAATTCATAAGAGAGAAAATTAAAAGCTTCACTACGGAAGATTTCAAGCAGACCTTTACGTTTCCATATTAAGTAAAGCAAATAACAAATTTCCCCAACCTTCAGAATGCAAGACTAATTTACAACCATTGAAAAATTAAACATAATATGTAAAACGAGCCACCAAGAAAGTAAGGCTAAACATAAACTTTAAAGTAAGGAAAGAGCAAGTGTTCTTTTCTTTTGGAACCTAGACCTCCTTACTCTTATTATATATACGTATAGTCTGGTTTTTATATATATAGATTCTTCCTTATATATTTTCGATGAATGAATAACTTATTAATCGTCAAAACTATGCTGTCTGTCGTGTTCTATAGAAAAGAGAATGAAAGAGTGAGAACATAACAATATAATTTAATCCGCAAATTTTTGATGAACAGCCAAACTGCAATAACTCATGCCTAAGGATCTNAGTTTTATCAACTCTCTGTTTTGGTTTCTCTGTTTTTTTTTTTTTTTTTTTTTTTTTTTTTTTTTTTTTTTTTTTGTAGATGCTTCCAGTGTCAAGAGTCCGAATGGAAACAATAAAGATCACAATCAAAGGCCTTACTATTATTATCATGCTTCGACTCATGACGCATCAAGGAAAATGACCAAAGAAGAATAGGCGCAGTCGAATGAGAGTTTATTTTAGCAATTTCGGAAACTTTCAAATCGACAGAACCAAAATAGCATTGCTTATCGTCCAAAGACAGCCTTCAAACAATCCGAAACCTCTTACGTTCATCTCATATCAATATACTTCTCGCTTCACCTCCAACAAAAAAATTCAACTAAATCCAATAAGGAGAACGATATATCTAAAATTCACGCTAACAATCTCCTCCTCGCGAAAGTACGCTCACGCTACAACAACTAAACACGCCGCCAATTCACATCCAATACAATAAAACAATTCAAGTAACTCGCCACTTGAAGTTGAACAAATGCGACCTCGATGAGAAGGTATGAAAGGAAAAAATAAATTAATCAGACATACTTGACGAAAGTTGATGTGCCTGCTCTCGAGCAAACCGCAAACGTTACCATCGTGAAAGGCGAAGTCCTCCATGAGATTAGAGATAACTCAGAGAAACCCTAGCGGTGATCAATCTCCGACCAATAATCTGCCAGTTGCAGCAGTGAAGGTTCCGATCATTCTACAATTTTCGCGCTCCCCAAGACGGGAACCGTCTCTGAAGTCTGTCCAAGTATTTATAGAGAGAGCTCTGCGTGTGAAATAGAAGAAGCTCGTGTGACAAATAATTAATGAAGAGGGAATTAAAATTTAATTATTTTATTTTATCAGTATTAGGTTACATTAAATTTTATCAGTATTTTAATTTTTTTAATTTCAAATTTAATATTAAAATATATTACACAAAAAAAAAATAGTTAAAATAAATTATAAAAATAATTATAATAAAAGGTATACTCGATATTACCATTATATATTGTCTCAAAATATATCAATAATGTCATTTACATAATAATTTTTTTATATATAAGTTATAATTTCGAATTAAATGACTAATGTTATAAATAATGTCACGTGACCAAAAATTTAATTATTTAATTAAAAAAAATTAAAAATTCAGAGTTTTTTTTTTTTTTTTTTTTTTGGGGTAATTTAGCCAAAAATATGGCTATAGTCTCCTCCTACTTTCTCGCCCCTCTCTCACTCACGCTCTTCCCACGCTGCTGGCAGTGCTCTCTGGCGAGACCTCCTCACTCCATTGCGCCGCCTCAACGACGCCGCTTCGGTGCCGGTGACGTGCCTCGTCGACTTTCCATCGCTCACCGTCGCACCTATCAGGTAATCTCTCTCGCTCCAATGTTCTCTCGATCGATTCCATTTCTTTCTCTTTTAGTCATGAATGATCGATTTCCGGTTTGGAAAAAGAAAAAAGGAAAAAAATTGGAAGGAATCGAACTGATCATCGCCCTTACTCACTTGGAAGAGAAGAAGAAACAGGAAAGCAAATTACAGGATTTGTCTCCTTTGTTTTCCCCCTTTTTGAGTTCAGCGTGTGAGAAATTCGAATTTCTTTATGATTTTGCTTGAATCTGTCATTTCTAAAGCGTTATTCCAATGAATTCATGATAGATGTAAAAAGAACGTGTAGGATTAGCAAGCTTATGGATTGGTTTATATAGATACAGTGCACGTTTTGATTGTTCAGGAAGTTTTTTGTTCTTCCTAACCTATTTTTCTCTCTAATTTTTCCATCTTAGATGATATCGCCATTTAGCAGATTTTGATAAATATTGCGGCCTTCTCCTCTCTTCTGTCTATACATACGCCTGCGGTTTCCTGGATTTCATGAATATTGTTTGGATTTCAAAAGCAATAATCTCCAAGAGGAATAGTCCTGCCAGACTCTTTACTACCTCCATAGAAGCTCAGAAGAAATCCAAATCCAGTTACATTTCTCACGAAACAGCCATAAGGTTGATCAAAAATGAAAGAGATCCTCAACATGCGCTTGAAATATTCAACATGGTGTCAGAGCAAAAAGGCTTTAATCACAATAACGCCACTTATGGAGGCATTCTTCAAAGGCTTGCAAAATCTAAGAAATTCCAGGCTATTGATGGAGTTCTGCATCAAATGACATATGACACTTGCAAATTACACGAGGGTATATTCCTTAATCTCATGAAGCATTATTCAAAGTCTTCTATGCACGAAAGAGTGCTTGACATGTTTTATGCTATCCAGTCGATTGTTCGTCAAAAGCCTTCTCTTAAAGCGATCAGCACGTGTCTCAATCTTCTAGTCGAAAACGACCGGGTTGATCTAGCCAGGAAATTGCTTGTAAATGCTAGTAGCAAGCTCAACTTAATACCAAATACTTGCATTTTCAACATTTTAGTTAAGCATCATTGCAGAAATGGAAATCTTCAAGCTGCATTTGAGGTTGTAAGGGAAATGAAAAGTGCTAGAGTCTCTTATCCTAATCTCATCACCTATTCAACTCTGATAGGTGGTCTTTGTCAAAGTGGAAAACTTAAAGAAGCCATTGAACTTTTTGAGAACATGGTTTCAAAGGACAAGATTTTGCCTGATGCCTTGACTTACAATATTCTGATCAATGGCTTTTGTCAAGGAGGGAAGGTCGACCGTGCAAGGAAAATAGTCGAGTTCATGAAAAGCAATGGATGCAGTCCTAACGTATTCAATTACTCAGTCTTAATGAATGGCTTCTGTAAAGAAGGGAAATTGCAAGAGGCAAAGGAAGTTTTTAATGAAATGAAGAGCCTCGGGATGAAGCCCGATACGGTCAGCTACACTACCTTAATGAACTGCCTATGTAGAACCGGAAGGGTCGACGAGGCTACAGAGTTACTCCAGAAAATGAAGGACCAAGATTGCAGAGCCGATACCATAACATTGAATGTGATCCTTGGAGGTCTATGCCGAGAAGGAAGGTTCGAAGAGGCTCTCGATATGGTGCAGAAACTTCCCTTTGAGGGTTACTATTTGAACAAAGGAAGTTACAGAATTGTGTTGAATTTCCTGTCTCAGAAAGGAGAATTGAAAAGGGCTACTGAGTTATTGGGTCTAATGTTAAATAGGGGATTTGTACCTCACTATGCAACTTCTAATAGTCTGTTGGTTCTTCTGTGTAACAGTGGAATGGTGAAGGACGCAGTAGAATCTTTGCTTGGGCTGTTGGAGATGGGCTTCAAACCTGAGCCTGATTCTTGGTTTTCTTTGGTTGATTTGATCTGCAGGGAGAAGAAACTGCTGCCTGTGTTTGAATTGCTTGATGAGTTGATCGCTGAAGAACATTTAAATGTAAGCTAGTCATTATTATACTCTGCAAAGCATCAATTACTCTTTATGCTTATAATACAAATGACTGTGATGATGAGTTTTAGAGCCTTTCCCCATGTAGTTTTCTCCAGGACCTAGAATTTTTTCTTCTACTTATTTGTATCATTTGGAACATGTTCACTTAGATGAAATAAATTTGAAGTTTTTCCTCCAGATCCTTCGTACTTCCACGCGTAACAGCCGGTGCTAATAGATGTTGTCCTTTCTAGGGGAAGTCCCTTTGACTGATCTTGTAATAGTCCGACCGATCCAAGTCCACTGCTAATAGATGTTGTCCTCTTTAGGCCCCTTTGGCTGATTATGTAACCGCCCGATTGATCCAAGTCCACTACTAATAGATGTTGTCCTCTTTAGGCCCATTTGATTGATCATGTAACAACCCGACCGATCCAAGTCCACTGCTAATAGATGATGTCTTCTTTAGGCTCCTTTAACTGATCATATAACAGCTCAAATCCACTGTCAATAGTTGTCCTCTTTAGAGAAGTTCATTTGGAGAAAGCTCCACTGATGGCGGATATTATTCTCTTTGGAGAAAGCTCCAATGATGGCAGATATTATTCTCTTTGGAGAAAGATCTCCTGATGGCGGATATTATTCTCTTTGGAGAAAGATCCCTTGATGGCAGACATTATTCTCTTTGGAGAAAGCTCAATTGATTGATCATGTAATAGCCCCCAAGCCCACTATTAATAGATATTATTAGGGGAGTCCTTTTACTAATCATGTAACAGCCCAAGTCTGGCCACCGTTAGCAGATATTATCATCTTTAAACTTTTTTTTTTTTTTTGCTTCTCCTCAAGGTTTCAATACGTGTCCACTAGAGAGAGGTTCCCCCCTATAAATAATGTTTCATTTTCTTCTCCAACCGATGTGTGACCTCATATATATATATATATTAAAATTTATAAAATTGCACCTTAAAAGCTAAAATTTGTCCACGTTTGACAAGTTTTCGTGTGTAAAGATACATTAATTATTGTTATTATTTGAATGAAAATTCTCGAGCAATTTGAAAAAAAAAAATATTCGTTCACAATTATTCAATGTTCGATTTTGTGCTCATATAAGCTTAATGTTGTGTAAAAATTATTTTTATTTTGCGGTTAAAAGCTGTGAATAAATTAGTGAACGTACAAAATTACAACATCAACACGGTAAATACAAAAATTATATAACTGTAAATACTAACACGGTAATTGAGATTTCATTAATGTAAAAATCACTTTCACATTCGAAAAAAATAGAAATTAAAAAAAAAAATTTAATAATTGCGTGGGGTCACCGAACAACAGATATTATTAAAAATAAATGCCAATGTCCCAAAATTGATTTCTGTCATTTGCTTTGTTCCCGCGAAATGTTCAAAAGAATTCAAACTAAAGTTGACGATAAATGATGCCCATCACATGCAACGCTGATGCATTGCATACAAAGACAACCTCCACGTGGCAGTAATTTACCTTTTAAATTATAAATTTAATCTTAAATATATTTCATAATTTTTATTCACAAAAATTAAAATTGACTAATCTATTGTTAATAAATAGTAATTTTTGCTTTTGCGTATATGAGTGAATTTACAAAAAAAAAATATATATTTAATTGACACAAAATCACTCATTTAAAGGTTAATAATTATATAGACATTTTAAAAAATTAATGTCCCATTAAATACAAAATAAAATTTATTCTTTAATATAAAAAATAAAATCGAGATGCCTAAGTTTAATATTTTACCTACCCAATATATTATTCGTCTTCAACAAAACTCATCCACGCACAATGAGAGCACCGCCCACACGTGGCTGTTTTTTTATTAAATTAATTATGGTTAAAATATTATTTTGCTGGCATTCAGTTTTAACTATGGTAATAAATTTATTATCCTTTACCTTATTTACCGTAAATTTTGGAAATATATTCCCAATATTTTTATTATTATTGAATAACTTAATTAATTTTTATGATATTTAACCGATAATTTCTTTTAAAATTTTATGACATATAGAAATGACTAAAATATCTTCGTACTATGTTAATTACTAATAATCATTGTTGTCTAGTGCTGCCCATTGATATTCACGGCCTCCACAACAACTCTACCACCCACTTTTGGCAACCACTTTGCCAACTATCGGTAGCGGTCAATCGATCATAGTCTCTAAAATCTAATTTTTTATGTATTTAAAAACACATTTATTAGAAAAATATACATATATTTTTTAGCCAACACTCATTTTCAAAATATAATAAATTATAATAACAAATAATGGAGAATAGTTATTTTCTTTTTATATATTTATATTTTTTGAAGTGGAAATTTAAATTTATAAGAATTTTGAAGTTATACTTATAAACTCTATTTTAATAAAAGAAAATAAATAATTAAAAAACGAGGTAAAATAACTCTAATTGGTTTAATTGGTCGGAAAATTGGAAAAAAAAATGAAAAATTGACTCGTATTTAAATTAGAGAATTGAAGAAAGAAAAAACGCTACCGGCTGGTGCATCAACTGGTGGGCTATGGTGCCAAAAGGGAACAGAAAGTAGGCGCGAAGTGGGGCCCGCACTACCTAGTAAACCGGTTGCTAGTCGTCCTCCATAGACGAAATCTTTTCTATTTTAATAAATCTGAAAGTAAGCGTTGGCGTTGCGTCCCCACTTCAACGTTCGACTAATTTTAATTTTTCCATTTAAAATTAAAAAGTTAAAAAAATAAAATAAAATAAAGTAAAATCCAGGAATGCCACGTATGCTGCCTGTTACCTTTTAATGGAGCCCACTTCCAGTACGTGCCCTTTAATTTCGGTCTAATTAATGAATTAATCTCTTTATTGAAACATGAAAACGACGTCGTTCCACTTGATATAAATAATTTCTTAAAAAATGTGAAAGAAAAGACGGAATCTAAACTAAAAAAGGAAAAAAAAAAAAAAAAAAAAAA